GTATGTATATATATAATACATATACATATTATATATATAATATAATATATATACATATATATAATATATATACATATAATATATACATATATACATATATATGCATATATACATATATATAATATATACACATATAATATATACATATATACATATATATGCATATATACATATATATAATATATACATATATACATATATATGCATATATACATATATACATATATATGCATATATACATATATATATGTATGTATATATATAACATATATTATATATAAAATTATTCAATTAAAATCATCACGGAAACATATATTACTTTCACTATATAACAGCGATACTGCAAAGAAAAAACTCAATAATTACCCTACCACCATCATGTATCCTGATAAAAACTTCACGCCTTATTCGGATCATAGAAAATTGTTTCCTAAGCAATTTTATACCTATTCTCCCATTTCTCTCGCTCTTTTTTTCCTTTGTTTCTCACTCTCCCCCCCTCCCCTCTCACACTTTCCATTCTCTCATTCTCACTTCAGTTCTTTCTTTCATTTTTATCTCAAGTTAATTGAACTGTCATCGTACACTGACATTATATTATTAAATATATCATGACAGATAATAGCATGCTTTGTTATAATTTTCGATGATCCGATATGAGCGTCTTCCAATGTTGGATATATAGTTCCAAAAGAGAAAAAATATAAAATGCTACTAAATGGTATTCTACTACTTTCCATTCGTAATTCAATATCGCATCTTACCTATTTCCATGAGAGCTGAAACCAAATTTATTGAATTTATGATGCATACGAAATCAACAAAATACACACACTTACATAAAACGAGGTAGAACAAACAACATAAAAAAAAGTAGAAAGAGAAAAAAAGAAACTGAGATTTTTTTTCTTCTTGGCAATGCGTATGATTATACACCGCCACAAAATAAATTTCACTCAAATATTATTATACGTAAATACAAAACAAACAATACACATGCAATTACTTTTTTTCGTATGTGCGTGTTTATGTGCGTCCGTTTATTTGCTTCTGTCCGTCCCTCTATGTGTCTGTCTGTCTGTCTGTCTATCTGTGTGTGTGTGTGTGTGGGCGGGCGCGCACGCGCGCATATTGTAAATGTAAAACAATAGGTATCGCAGGAAGTAGTAGTGGTAAGGCAATAAGGTGCTTATTATGATGCTAAACCACACCTGGCATACATATGTATAATCGTACATATGTATGAAAACTCTTTAATAATGTAAGCTAATTGATTTTTGTTCCAGAAAATATTTCGTATACCCGATTATCATGTACTGTTTACAAAATTATGCACTGATAAAAACAATTAAGATAATAGAAAAAGAAAAAAAAGAAAAAAAAGAAAAAGAAAAAAGGGGGAAAAGAAATAAAATACTGCATAACAATTAAAAGTGTAATCATAATAGGCTCAGACCAAATTCAATTTACCAGATTGTCATACAAATGCAATTCTTTGATATAATAAATGAACGAAAGGGTACTTCTTCAGTTGTTAAGCACTTTCTCACTACATCTTCTAATGTGATAAAAGGTGAAACATGTCCAGAAGTCTCTCTTTTTTAAAATTTTCTTGATGAAAACTGTTCTTTGCTTAGAGATTAATTCACTTCGCTCTTACGCAAGCAAACTTGTAATTAATTTTATAGTTAACGTTTCACGATCAATAAATATTCCTTATTAATACTCAAATATTAGGATTATGGTTCTAAAGATGAAGAAGACAAGGTTTCAAAAAGGCTAAGGATATGATATTACTCGTTAAAAATATTCGTACTTTTATAAATAAATTCTCATATATATAACATCATGCGCATAAGCTAAGGTATGTAGTGAGATAGTGAGAAATCCCCAAAAGCATGCGGGATGTTTATGTTACATAACATTACCATAAGTAATCGATAAAAACGATTTAACAATGATTTGTCTTTATATAAATCTGAAAAATAAAATATTAGTATTTTAAATCTATGAAAAAGTTCATTAATAAATTTTTTAAACGTCATATATTTTTTCAGCACCAATAGATTAGTATTTTATCTTGATATATTTTTCAATTTCAATATCTAAGCAGTCCATGGCGATATACAATTTTCTCAGACCTCGCATTATATAAATATAAACTAAATGTATAATTTATTATATGCTAATAACATTATCCAAAATTTTACAGGAAAGTTGAACAATTTAATATTTTTACAAAATTAAGATATGGTCTAAGCCTAAAGATGAATTAAATTGACTGCAAGCGAAAACAAAACCTTAATTTAATAAAACAAAAACGTGTACATATATGTAATACACGTTATCTCTTTCTATATAAAATATTATTAAAGGGGTAACGAAATGCAATTAAAGTGTTACGTACAAATACATGAATATATATGTATATACGCGTGTGTATATGTTTAATTCCGATTAGGTCTAGAAAATATCAACGAGCGCGATAAACGTAAAGGCAAATTGGTACTTACCATAGTCGCCTCGTCCCATTTGTCCTCGCATACCTGCGCCAGTACCTCGAGGACCTTGTCCTGGTCCGCGAACTGGCATTGGTCCTCCCATCATACTTGGATGCGATGGAGAACCTCTGTAACAGAAAATTTTGTTATCATCTGAAAAAAATGTAACTCAATAAATAAATTAGAATTGAGAGCTTTATCGAATAATATACATACCCGCTTCGACCTTGAAACATTTGCATCATTCTTCGCTCTCTAGCACGAAGCATTTCTTCTTTCTTCTTTTTATCAGATGGTGGTTTTGCAAGGGATACTTCAATGTGAGAACCTCCGATTTCTTTTCCGTTTAATTCGTTCATTGCCTAGAACACGAAACAAACAATACTGCAATAAATAACTCGTAACTTACAGTAATATTCTAATATTAACAACGGACACATATTATCAATTATAACCTACCTTAACAGCATTATCTCTTTCTTCAAAATGGACAAAAGCGTAATCCTTAATTTTTTTCACTCTTTCGATGTTACCATATTGTTCGAAGCTTTCCTTTAGTTTCTCTTCGGAACAATCTTGCGTCAAGTTTTTTACATACAAGACACGTACCTAAAATAATTCAATTAATAATCAGTTACATCCAACTGCATTCTCGCAGTGTGTCAATTACTTACTTTAGACATTGTTTGTTCGTCAGGTTCTTCTTGAGGATCTGCCCAATCAACTATGATATCACAGCCCCATACTTTGATGCGACCGGTACTTAATCTTCGTTTGGCTAAGGAAGCAGCTTTATGAGATTCATATTCTAAGAAGCAAAAACCTCTATTTTTCTTCTTATCATCCGGAGAACTGTAGATTATCACCTCGGTCAGACCAGCTACATGATGAAAAATTACACAATAAATACATCAATAAATCTTAGCAGGACATTAAATTAAGGAGAGAGAGAGAGAGAGAGAGAGAGAGAGAATATGTCTACTAGTTAAAAGAGGGAAAATAGAAAAAAAAAAGGATAAATAGGAGAAAAGGAGGGTGAAAGAAATAAAAAAGAAATAAATATATAGATATGTAGATATGTATAAACCAATTCCGTGGAGTCATCATTTTGAATACAGTATATACATGGAATTTCAGGAGCTAACAAAATTGAATAGTAAATTATTTTATACAAAAGATCTATCCGATACCAAGTAAAAAGTTATTCAGCAAAAAAAAGATAAAACAAATATGAAAAGAAATAATTCCACTTCCAGTCTCGTTTTTCCAAAAACTTTACTTTTCTTCTTTTCTATTTGTCTCTGCTTGTAGAATTTCCTGTTAGTCCTGAGATACCTTGTTTGTATAAACTGCTGCATTAAATATATCGCGAATTATACGAATAGAAACAATCTGAATGGCTGAAATTTAGTTTACTGCAATACGTTATTAATATACCCATGAAACGTTCTTAACTATACTATTGGCTTAGATAATGTTTGGAAGAGAACAATTGACAAAGAGTAAGGACGAAAAAAAGAAAGAATTTGAAATGAGTGAATGAATGAGAATATGTGTGAATGAGAGAGAGAGAGAGAGAGAGAGAAACATGAGAAAATTTGATAGATAAATTTATCATCTAAATTATAACTTCAATAATTCATTTGAAACATTAAAATATCAAAATCACAACACTTTATTTGACACCAAATTATGTCGCGAAAATAAAATGATATGGTCAAAAGGGAAAATTATTTTTACATGAAAAATAATTGCTTTTACTTAAAGAACATTATGTATGAGTATGGGTGTGTGTATATATACAAATATATCTACCCAATTCCACAAATAAATAAATAAATAAATAAAAAGAAAAAAATGAATAAATAAAAAAAGAAAGAAAGAAATCAAAACATTTTGATTGTGATTCTAATAAATTACCAAGCTATCAAATACTAATCAGTTAATTAAAAAAAAAATTATTAATTAAAAAAAGGAAAAAAAGATGATATCAATTACGATGGTAAATTTATGATGAAATTGTTCAAATCTTTCACAATTGCAATATCTGGTTCTGAAATTCTCAAATTGTATTGACAAACTTAATTTCTTTCTACCAACATAAATACCGACGCCTACAACCATATTTAAACCATACATTGCCCTCAAAATCGTCCTTTCGGTTGTAAGCAATAAATTGATTTCCACAAAATTTTACAAAAATGTACATACATTTAATATCTCTGAACGAGAAACATTTAGCGATAGTAAATTTTAAGAATATAGTATGTACATTTGTTGTATCATATAAGAAATTGTAAAACCCTTACCCGAGTACATACACGCGCGTAAATGGAAAATAAAACACACTAAAGTTATAGATATGCAAGTAACCCTTTCTCAGTACCATATCGCTGAAGTACACACACAACACAAATATAAAAATGTTTATGTTCATAAATTACATAGATTGTGTTAAACTAAAAAATATACTTGTAGTATATACATATACGTACATAATACGCAATGTTACTTATGATAATACATAAATCATGTAACTTATAACTTGATATATGTTAATCCATATATACGTTTTATAGCATGTATGATACATGTATACATACATAATATGCATGTTTATAAATTATAGACATATATGATTATACACATATGTGTTCATATGTACATAATAAAAGTATAAACCTTGAACATAAAATTTAAGATACAATCTTAAATCACCAAAATAAATTTAAGTTCAAGTTTGAATTTAAATTGTTTTATGAGTTATGATAACTATACATTATAATTGTACATTAATAATTATAAATTAAATAAAAAAATTCAGTACCGAAAAATTCATATATATATATACATATATTATATATATTATATTATATTATATTATATATAATATTATATTATATTATATTATATATTATATTATATATTATATTATATATAATATATATTATATTATATTATATTATATATACATATATATTATATATAATATAATTCATATATATATATATATAAATACCTCGATATTTAAAAAAAAAAAAAATTTTGTTCACGCGTCATTTTTTACGAATCACTTTTTACGAATTTCTAAAACACATTTATGAACTTTGATATGATGTTTAATTACATAAAAGAAAAATATAGTTGAAAATCGAGAAATGTATTGTTAAATGAAATTATCATGCTATTAAAATTTACATGCATCGCAGTGATTAATATAGAAAAGATTGATCTTTCCTGAAATTATATAAGAATCGATATTTTTATCAATTAATTTAAATATAGATACTATCATAGACGATGTGTTTTCCAAACTAACAATATCATTTGTAAAAATAATAGAACAATTATTTAGTTACAATAATCAATTGTTACCATTTTTTTCCTTTTTTATTTAAAGTTAATCCTACTCTCCTTCCTCTCAGTTTAAAAGTTGGTTTGCACGCGTGGGCACAGAACACACACACACACACACACACACACA